AATAATAATAATAATAATAATAATAATAATAATAATAATAATAATAAGCTACTTTGGCTTGTTCCCTCACTCATTGTTTAAGTTCAGCCCCCTCTGAACTGTGTTTTGTTAGGCAAAAGAAGAAAGAATAATTGTGCTGGAAACAGAAAATGCCTTTCTGCACCTCAAGCTTGCAAAGGTAACAACATTTTCATTCCTTCAACCTATTTTGTACATATTTGTTTCTAGACTTTCCAATTTAAACTCTGAGCTGAAGTCCCAAACAGCCTGCCCATTTTTAAGGTTTCTTTTCTTCACTCAGAGTGGCAATAGTTAACAAAAAGAATTTTTTTAAAAAAAATCTACAAAAATCCCTGATTTTGGTTATGGGCTTACCTGAAAACTATCAAAACTGATTGTGGTTTGTGCTGTGATTTAACAGGTGGTACCTTGGTCAGCAAAGCACTGAATAGAGAGAGATTAACATTCATTTTGCTGTGGCAGTTGGAATGCACATCTTTATCTGTGCAGGTGATTACTGCATGTTTCAGTAATCCTCTGAAAATGCAGTTAAGCATAAGCAGATTTGGAAAACATCTGTCAACCTTTCTGCCCCGGCTGAAGCATTAATAATTGTACTTAATGGCTGATCCAGTTCTTGGTTTAAAAAAAATCAGCCAGGATAGGTATGGATGGGGATAAAATTAAACTAAAAACACCAGACAAACGAGTTATTTACCCTAATATTCATTGTCTGATTTGAAAAGTCTCAAATCCAGATTATTGATAATAATCCAGATTATTGATCTGGATAATCATTGTTGTGCTAGACAACCACTTCATTATTCTCACTAATTAAATATTTATATCTAATAAATTTAGGGAAAGTTTCATCACGAGAAAACAGAGAAATTTAGTTCAGTGCTACTGACGTTAAACTAGATACATGGTCTGAATCTGAATTGGACCAATTGGATCCCATCTGATTCATCATCCTGTTTCCGAAGAAATCCACCAGGACTTAGCTCTCCTCTTGTTATTTGTTCCAAAATAACATGTTCAGAATTCTACTGCCTCTATGACTGGTGTACATGCAATGTGCATATGATCTGCCAGAGATTTTATAGGACAATGGATAGCTGGAATAATGTAATTATTATTACTTGATTTATTTTCTATACCTGTCTATCTCAGCCAAGTGACTCTAGAAACAAAGTGTGTTTGTGAATGCTGATAATATAGCAAGCTTATAGGCTGATCTGCTCCCAAGTGATTAAAAGTGCTCTGGCTCAATTTCCAGCTGTCCTTAGCTAGCTAATTCTGTAGATTATAGCAGAGCAAAAAGAGGTTGCTTACATCTGTAATTGGAGATATAATGGCTTGTGAATAAAAAGATTTTATTTTGTCATTCTGTCAAAAAGTCATTCACTGAGTAAGGATTTTCTTCTTCCCTTTTTTAAAAAGGTGATTTAAGCTATAGTCTTCTCACTTACCTTCCAAGAGCATTGCCAGCTCTTATTGCAATGGATTGTCCTCAGTTTCATTCTATTGAAGTTCTGGAATGTTATTGTTAGTCAGGGCTCATAGATTAAGAAAAAAATGACAGAAAACACTATCTTTGTTTGCATCCAGAGATCACATCAAAAGAATTACAAAGGTCAGCAAAAATTACTGTGGTTTATAGTCATAATATATGACTCCATCTTCTCACTTACTGAGTTCTAACTTCGTGAGTTCCATTGTTTTTTCTACAGGTTTAGGATTCTGTTTTAAAAATCTTTCGCCTCTGTCCTTGTCATAAGCATGCTGAACTCAGCTTTGTGTAATGGATGCAGGCTCACTTACAGGACAACAGGATCAGGCTGAGTAGCTGGAATCTCCAATTTTCTAGTGTACAATACATGCATAATTGCTATCAATAAAGAATTGGCTTGAAATGTAGTGTTTATATAGCATTCTTTATCCAACCTGCATTTTTCTTTTTAAAGTATGACCTTAAGGTTTAAGAGTCAATTGTTTTTTTGTCCTCTGTGCAAACCTTAATGGGTTAATGGGACTGATCTAGTGTGTTTGTACATTCCAAGACAATGAGGTTATAGCAAAAATACCCATAGAAGGATGCAAATGAATTGCAAATGAAATGTTCTGGGTTGGAAAGAAAGAATTGACTAGCCCTTGGTTACTCCAATTTAATTGGTTCCATTCATGGTTACTCCCTGATTCTACCTAGGCTGATTCCTCTTCTTTTGCTCCATTCACTATTGATCACCAGTTACTCTAGTCTGATACTTTGATTTGTTAACTGTTTAAGATGTACAGAATATTTAATAACAGAATTGGAAGAGACCTTGTAAGGGTTGTGAATTCTGGGAGCTGAAGTCCACAAATCTTAAAATTGCCAAGATTGGCATAGAAGGCATTTTTGAGTCTAGAGAAAAAGCTTTGAATCTTCAATCAAGTTCAGTATGATACAATACAGTCAGAAAGCTTAACAATGAATTTTATAGTGATTATTATTACTGCTTTTTATACTGCTGGATTTTTGGAAATTTCTAATTTGGAAACTACTTCTCTTCAGAGTAACAGGTGTTTATTTTTCTTAAAAGCAGAATCAAGGAATAATTAGGAACAGCTCAGCAGAACATAATTTTGCTTATTATTATAATACGAAGAAATTTCATGGAACTGCAAAATCCATTGTAATCCAGCTTCACAGAGCCATACAGGTAAAGAGGTTTATTAGAACTGGAAAAGTTCAGCATGTTTCAAATTCTCAGTCACTTCAGCTTGTCTGGACAAGAACTCGAAATCATGAGTACTAACAATAATAGATTATTCCACGTCGGAAAGCACATATCGCCCCATCTTGCCTTTACTTTCCACAAACTAACAAAAAGGTTCCTTCTCAGATACTTTCCCTGTCCTCATTCCTTCTACAGACTTGGGATCTCTCTTATCTGACCAGTGCACTGGCTGGTTCTCTTTTCCCTTCTTCCTCTCAAAGCTATTCCTGCAGACCATTACATAAACTGTGTACATACAGTATATGTAAGAGCCGTGGTGGTGCCGTGGTTAGAATGAGGTACTGCAGGCTACTTCTGTTGACTGCCGGCTGCCTGCAGTTTGGCAGTTCAATTCTCACTGGCTCAAGATTGACTCAGCCTTCCATCCTTCTGAGGTTGGTAAAATGAGGACCCAGATTGTTGGGGGCAATATGCTGACTCTATAAACTGCATAGAAAGGGCTCTAAAACATTGGGAAGCAAAATATAAGTCTAAGTGTTATTGCTATTGCTAAGAGAAAAAGAAGAAAAACCAGATCCATAAATAGACATTAAATTTCTACAACCTAACATAACACTAGCTCTTTATGTTTGTGATCTAGAGACTACAACAAGACATGCAGAATCTCCGTTTGTCTGCCCTTCAATTTTCAAGGGAGATCCACCATCAAAGCGAGAGCTTTCTCCCTCAAGTTCTACTCATTGTCCAAAAGCTACAATTACAGAAGGAGACCATGGAAAGTAAGAGACATATACTGATTAAAATTGATCAAGCAGATATTTAGAGGACTGAGCCACTGACAGGTTACAACAAACCTTTTGAACTGTTGGCTGGGAATTCTCGAAGCTGTTTTATCAACCAAAGTGATTGGAAACCATTTGGTTTGGGAAGGTTGTACCACAGCAGCTCTATTGATGCTGGGACCTTATTTAATACAGAATTTGTGGAGCAGATACTTGTCAGAATAGCAAAGAAAAAGGAGAAGCAGATAGTTACCCTTTTATTTGAGGCTTCCCATGGGGTGCTTTATCACTGATAAAGCAGTAGAGCTAGTGCAAAAATAAATGACCGGGGGGGGAAGGGGGAAATTCCCCAGAGCACAAGAATGGTGGTGGAATATTCTCTTTACAATATGACCTACCTTGCAAGAACTTTAATGCTGCGACATCAGATAAGGATCCATTTTATCTACCGTTTTATTCCCATCAATAGGAACCAGTTGTTCTGGAAGTTCATGAACAAAGTCCAACATACATTGTGTACAGATGTGATGTGGTTGTTCCATTTAAAATTACTCTGTTATGAATCCACATTAGAGCTTAGCATTATAGTTCATGCCAAATCATTATGGCTTGCTGAAGAAATCCTGGTTAAAAATTCTAATTTAGCGTTGTGTGTAAACGAAGCCAGAGGTGTAACCGAGTCTTTTACGTGCTTTATGAAATATACATTGTTTGTCTTTGTTTATTGCCTGTAGAACTTTGCATGTAATCATTTAAGCCCCCTTTCTCTATTTCACCAAGGAAGACATGTAATAGTTCATTGAACATTTGTGAAAACTTCTATCCAGCCTTTCAGGTTAAAACACTGGAACTTGAACAATCCTTGAATGAGATTAATGAGAGATATAGGAAAGAAAAACAAAGAAGAAAAGTATTGCATAACAACCTACTTGTAAGTATCTTGATAATTAAGTTGACAATGTCTGAACAGGCCTGTATAATTATTTTGGAATTCGCTTTTACTTTATTAACAATTACTTCCCATTGCCCATTAATCTTCTTGAGCATCCGGAGTGGAAGGAGGCAAATTACAAAATATACCTAGCAAGGCAGGTTTTTTTCCTCTTTTGTACTTGTGTCGTGACGTTGCACACAAAGGTGTCAAACAGGGTTGTCAAACTCAAGGCCCGCAGGCCTACCCCCTTAGATCTGCAGGGTTGCCCTGAAACAGCGAAGGACCGGGCTGTGGTGCCTCTGCCAACAAAAACAGAGCTCAGGAGGGCTGCATGCGTCCCACCCGAGCTCCATTTTCACTGGCAGAGGGTTACAGGAGGCCATCGCAGCCTCCCGAGCTCCGTTTTCGCTGGCAGAGCACTTGGGCCACCACAGGCGTCCCTGACATGAGTGACATCGAGCTGGACATGCCCACCTGCCCCCCAAGGTCAAAAACAACCCTGATGTGGCCCTCAGTGAAATTGAGTTTGACACCCCTGGTGTAAAAGGACTGTGGTTTGCCCTGTGACATCACACTGAACGCTTTGTCACTGTTGTGAAATCCTGGCTTCAACCTTAGAAAGCAATCATAATTTTTTTCCCCAACAAATTACAATGAAGTTAGACTACAGGAAGTCCTCAACCTACAACAGTTCGCTTAGTAAACTGTTCAAAGTTATCTCAGCACTGGAAAAAAAAAGGCTTATAACAGTTTTTCATACTTACGACCATCACAACATCCCCATGATCACATGAGCAAATTTCAGGTGCTTGGCAAGTGACTCATGTTTATGACGGTAGTGGTGTCCTGGAGTCACATGATCCCCTTTTACGACTGTCCGACAAGCAAAGTCAATGGGAAAGCCAGATTCATTTAACAACCATGTTACTAATTTAACAGATTAAGTTAATGTTATTAACGGGTGGGATGCTATTGGTGCTGCCTGGCTCTATAGAACCGTTAGCTCTGAAGAGCAGAAGACACTGAACCGGTTCTGTGTTTGCTGCTGTTTGGCCCACCCACCCGCCTGGGCTCTTACCTGTCCTTTATTTCCTGCTTTTTCAACCTCAGCTGCTTTGTGCGGCACAGCTTCAGTTAAAAGAGCAGGGAAAAAGTGGCTTTCCAAATGCTATGCACCTGCGCGCAGCGCTTTTCAGCTGTCTGGACGGCACAGCTTAGTTGCTTTTTTACCCATGCACGCAAAACGTTACACCGAACCAGTAGTAACACCGGTTGAATCCCACCCCTGGTTATTAACTTAATAGAGCCTCGGTGGCACAGTGGTTAGAGTGCAATATTGAAATCTACTTCTGCTGACAGCCAGCTGCCTGCAATTTGCCAGATCAAATCCCATCAGGCTCAAGGTTGACTCAGCCTTCCATCCTTCCAAGGTGGGTAAAATGAGGACCTGAATTGTTGGGGGCAATATGCTGACTCTGTAAGGGCTGTAAAGCACTATAAAGCGGTATATAAGTCTAAGTGCTATTGCTATTAATGATTCACTTAACTACTGTGGCAAGAAAAATGGTAAAGTGGGCAAAACCCACTTAACAAATGTTTCACTTGGCAACAGAAATTCTAGGCTCAATTGTGGTCATAAGTTGAGGGCTACCTGTGTTACCTATACAATCTGCAAACTAACTTGTATCTTAGGACAGTCTATAAATGAGTTTGGGTTGCCATCCAGGCTTGGCTTTCGATAATCCAAAGCCTAGGATTTGACTAAAACAAAATTGAGATTCCCAAGGTAGTAAATGTTGCGGTTTGTGCACATTTCCCCACTTGTATAAAAGCACCTCATAGCAGTTGTGTTTGAATTGAAGGCATATTTTGCTTTCTGCAAATAATAACCTGTAAAAGCTGCAAACTTTATAATGACATAATGTAACTGGAAAATATTTTCTTCTGCTCCAAGCTTGCAGTTCTCTTCTTATCTGTTTGTAGTAACAGACTGGATTGAGGATCCTTAACAATAAACAGTCTTGCTCTTCTACTCACGTTCCTGAGGTTTCCTGCCAAAATAAATGTGTTTAATGTCAGATCATGAGATGGTCTTATATATTCTGCCATTTGGGACATTATCTAGGCAGCAATGTGTTTCTGGAAGACATGTGGGATTTGCATGCTATCCATCAATAGTAACAGTGATAATTAGGTTTCTGTGTTGCAACCCTAGGAGCTAAGAGGCAACATCAGAGTGCATTGCAGAATCCGCCCATTCTTACCATTTGATGCAGCTCCAGAGGAATCAGCCATGGAAGACAGGTAATTAAATAAATTAGTCAGTGTGGAAAAGATAGCTTTCCCGGCAAAGAAATTTAAAGGTCTTCACCCTTCATTGAAACTTTTATTAAGATCGACACTAATATTATAAGGCTACAATTTGAGATTTACCTCCAAGCATTAAAGATTTTCTACAATAAGCCAGGTAGACTATAAATCTAAGCAACCGAAGCATATACTGTTCACAAGCATGGAAATATTATTTCGTTTCCAAGGTTTTGCATCCTGGGGAAGACTTTTTAATTTACAGTTAAGGATCAATCTCTTTTCAGTTGAGCTGAACTTTTGATGATTGTATGAACATGTCACATTTCAGGGTGGAGCATACCTGCCTTTGGACACCTTGTTTTACAGGAGTCTGCCCATACATTTCCTGTGCCCTTTTAAGAAGCTTTCCAGGGTTCCATAATGAATTCTTTCTTGCCTGTTTACCAGCAAATAGACAGATAGGCAGCAAGTTGAGCGCAAACACAGAAGGAGGGGAGATCAAGCCAAACTGGTCATCTGTCTCCCTATCTTGTAGAAATATATCATCCTCTATCGTTTTGATATTCCTCTGTTTTATTGGTCTGGATGTTTTGTTCCAACAGGCTACTTTATGTTCCTGGGTTTTGGCCATAATAAAGAATTCATTCATTTCTATACGAACGTCTATCTCTGTGAAGTTTTCTTGGCAACAACTCTGAAATACTTAGCCACTGCCTTTCCCCAGGATGCTTGTCAACTTCCCAGTCTAGCCTGTAGCCCTGAGATTTCCTGGGAATTTCCCTTCTAAGTATTTCCCAGGGCTGATCTACTTACTTTTTTGGGGTGGGCCAGAGATGTCTAGTTTCTCCTTAGCTGCTTCATTTTTCATTTCTTGTTCGTCACGTGTATCTTCTCTTATTTCCTCTGTTTTTACTCAGTTGTCCTGTTTTGGTTTTAATTCTGTCTGCATTCAACAGCTGAAGGTGGAAGTAGTGGGCTTGGCAAAAGTGCTTACTGCCTCCCACTCATTCTCAAGAATTAGCTGGTCCTTGGCTTTGACATTAGGCCGAATGTCAACTCGTAAAGCATTCCTGCCTTGCTCTCAAATTGCCAACTAGGTTTAGAGTATAGTTAGTCCTTGGTTTACAACCACAGCTGGGACCAGAACTTACACTGCCAAGTAATGTAGTCATTAAGCGAGTTGTGCCCAGTTTTACTTCCCTTTCATTAAGTGAGTCAACAAGTCATTAACCAAGTCATGTATTTGTTAAGCAAACCCAGTATCCCCCTTTGATTTTCTTAGAGTAATCACTGGGAAGGTTTCAAATGGCAAGCATGTGACTCTAAGACACTATACCTGTCATAAATACAGGCTGGTTGCCAAGTGCCCAAACATTGATCACATGACTGCAGGGACACTGCAGTGGTTGTTAAGTGTGAGCATTGGTCACGAGTTGCTATTTTCAGCATGATCATAACTTTGAATAGTTATAAATCAAGGATCATCAGTAGAGAGGAGTACAAGACTGAATGGTTTTGTGCTTCTGGGTTTCTCTTCCAGTCAACCAAGGTAAAAGTAGAAATGTCTCTATATTACATTCTGGTCAATCTGAATTTGTGCAAGGTCCGAACAAAGGATCATGTAAATGCCAAAAAGGAAATATGGGTTAATCAATCCCATACCCCAAGATTGACAATGGGGGGAGGGGGAGGCTAACAAAGTCATCTCAAATTTGATTTCCATTACATCATGAAGATCCATGGTGGCACAGTGGTTAGAAGGCAGTATTGTAGGCTAACTCTGCTGACTGCCAGCAATCCTATTCTGACCGGCTCAAGTTTGACTCAGCTCAGTTCCATCCTTCTGAAGTTGGTAAAATGAGGACCCAGATTGTTGGGGGCAATAGGCTGATGATGTTTGAGAGGGCTGTAAAGCACTATGAAGAGGTATATAAATGGAACTGCTATTGCTGTTGTTATCAGAGGGAGTAGGTAAGTCCCACTGTATATAAGAAAGAAAAAGCAGAATTTCATAATGTGAAATTTCATGTGTTCATGACATTGAATACAAGCGTCTCTTTCTTTCAGTATTGTTGTATTACAACATTGTGTTACTATCTCCAAAAACACCAGTCCCTACATCAATCACTAACTATCATTGTGGGGAAAAGTTGTGCGATGCCAACCCTTTGAGTCTCCAAAGGGAATGATTGCCTTCATGTAGCAACAGCTATTACCCAAACCAGGAAAATCAGTGATATCAGTGAAGAGCTGCGGTGGCGCAGTGGTCAGAATGCAGTACTGCAGGCTACTTCTGCTGACTGCTGGCTGACTGTAATTTGGCAGTTTGAATCTCACCAGACTCTAGGTTGACTCAGCCTTCCATCCTTCCAAGGTCAGTAAAATGAGGACTCAGATGGTTGGGGGAAATAGGCTGATTCTGTAAAGCGCTTAGAGAGGGCTGTATAAAGCACGGTGGAACGGTAAATAAGTCTAAGTGCTATTGCTATATTCCAAATATGTATACCCGAATGCTGAAGCTTTTTATTGTATCAAAGAATATTAGGAGGCTCTTGCTAATCTAAGTTGCCTTTTTTCCCCAACTTTGTCTCCTAGCATTGGCGCAAGCAGCATGAATTTGCACATTGCTTGCATATCCAATGTGCTGGCAATATTTCATTTAATTTTAAATGCAGGCAATCCTCAATGTATGACCGTAATTGAGCCAGTAATTATGATCATAACTTATTGCGGTTGTAAGTTGAAGTATCACATGGCCAGACCCATTTTTGGGTGGCAGTCATTAAGCAAACATGGCGGTGGTTAAGCACATCCATTTTTCCCAATGAACACTTTTTGCCAGAAACTGGCAAAAAAACAATAACCACACATCACAGTCATGTAACCATGGCACTCTGCAAATGGTTTAAAGATGAACCAGTTGCCAAAGTGCCTAAAATGCAATAAGGTAACTGTGGGGATGTGTGCAACTGTCATAACTTCAAAAATAGGTCATATAAGAAGGTCTGAGGAGATCTGTCATAACTGTGAACAATCATTAAATGACCAACTGCAAATCAAAGACTGCCTGTACGGAGGTTGGAGCTCCCTATTTTTAAGTTACAAATAGGAGGAGGAAAATAGATGTTGATTGTGATCATGGTGAGAGTAAATTTTTGTAACCTTTTTTCTCCCTGCCCCAAATCTAATTCACAACTCTTCTGACGCCACTATTAAATTCTTCTAACAAGCTGCCTGTTAAATTGGAGTAATTTCATTTGTTATTTTGACCCAATTCAGATTTTATTTTAAAAGATGCAAGTCTTTATATTTATCTACAGGAGGAATTTAGATATCACCCTATTTTTCCCTGTTCAGAGTATGGCCAATTAGTGAGGCACAATGTTCGTAATGGCAGCGGGTGTTAAAGAAGGAACACTTCTTGTATAAGAAGGAACATGGGCATGAAGCGCTCTGAGAATTTCTATATCTGAGAAGTATGCTCTGTTAGAGCTCAAGTTCATTTTTGGAGTTTGCTTAGCCTAGTACAGAATAGAATAACGGAGTTGGAAAGGACCTTGGAGGTCTTCTAGTCCAACCCCCTGCCTAGGCAGGAAATCCTACCACCATTTCAGACAAATGGTTATCCAACATCTTCTTAAAAACTTCCAGTGTTTCACAACTTCTGGAGGCAAGGTGCTCCACTGATTAAATGTTCTAACTGTCAGGAAATTTCTCCTTAGTTCTAAGTTGTTTCTCTCCTTGATTACTTTCCACCCATTGCTTCTTATCCTGCCCTCAGGTGCTTTGGAGAATAGCTTGACTCCCTCTTCTTTGTGGCAGACCCTGAGATATTGGAAGACTGCTATCATGTCACCCCTAGTCCTTCCTTTCATCAGACTGGACATATCCAGTTCCTGCAACCGTTCTTCATATATGTTAACCTCCAGTCCCTTAATCATCTTTGTTGCTCTTCTTTGCACTCTTGCTAGAGTCTCAACATCTTTTTTCACATCATGGTGACCAAAACTGGATGCAGTATTCCAGGTGTGGCCTTACCAAGGCATTATAAAGTGGTATTAACACTTCACGTGATCTAGTGATTGATCCAATCCTGCCTCCATCCTTCCTTCCAATTCCTCACATGCCTTTTATTGGCAAGCAGAAGAAATGAGGGTTTAGAATATTTGACAAAAAATGGTATCTCGTTCAAGCTAGGAGGTGAATGTAGGAGTGGCAAGGACAAGCAAAGGATGGACATGTTTTCCAGTAGTATAGATGTTGTGAAACATGTCTTCTTTGTGGCACTCCTGTAATTTGATCTTCAACTTCACTACCTTCAGTGTTAGTTTTCTAATTTAAAAATAAATACACTTTCTTTTAAAAGGCAGAGAAGCATTTCAGAAAACGTGATCTGTGCAACAGATGATGTGAGTATTTTCAACTGTTTTTACATTCTCAATCCTCCATAGCTAAGCAAAAAAGAATATGCTTAAAACTCAGATGTAGCCCTTGGGCCACTAGATCACTTCTCTGAATCCTATCACTAACAGATAATCTCAAGATCAAGACATCTCTTTAGGCTCCCCATTAAACAGCTCCCCTTTGCTTCTCTGATGCTGTGCCATGGCAAATGTATTATCTCAAAAATGAAACATGGCTGTTTACCAAGCCTTGCTTTCAAGAGCATCAAAGTAACCTGGTTTAAATCCCAGAGGCATTAAATCCCAGATGGGAGCCAAACTGCAAATCCATATGGCATTCCAATATTAATTAATCCTGTTACCAAGAAATAACATTTGAAAGGCTCAATGTGGTATGCTAAGAGGGCAGTTTTAATTCTGGTTTTACTGTTTGGGAGTCTTCAGACAGATGCTTCAGCTAATCTATTTCATGTAGAGCGTAGCCTTCTTTTCCTTGTCTGGGAGTATTGAAAAGGATGCAGGAATATGCCCTTTATAAACAGAAGATTTATGCACATCTATTGAGACTGGCCATTAGGGCAGTCATTATTCTTAGTGATTGCAATTCCCATGGAATTACTTTAGCCTCGTAAGTTGCTGGTTCTTTTTTTTAAGACGACATGCTAGGGACCAAACCAGGAACCTTCTGTAAACAAAGCATGCAGTCTGATTGTTTTGGCCTACCAGACCAAAAAAATAAAAGGGAAGAATAACTGGCTTGCATTTACCTCTCTGTCTAATTCTAGAATGTACAAAAGAGGAATTTGCACATCTTTCCCTCAAAAGAAGTGATACAGGTACATTCAGAAACGGTCTGTACATCTTGTGGGAAAGGGGGGAAACACCCACCTCTTTGATGCCTTCCTTCAGATCCCTTGAAATATTAATTTTCAATGTTTAAAATATGCTAACACTACCCTTCCTTTTATAAAAATCTCAAAAAACATTCATCCATTTGAAATAATCCAAAGTACAGAAATATGATTCAGAAACATAAGCCAGTTATTCTATTGCCTTTGAAGTGATTTGTTCCACTTATCATTTCGTAGCAATGTCAGAGATTCTTTGGAAGATGGTACATAAACAATCTACCCACATTATGTGGATATATCGACAATTTTAGGTCCTAAAGTGAAGTACAGATTTTCCCAGTAGCATGCAGTATCAAGTTCTCATATTGGTTAATAAGACTTGCAACCACATTTTGTCCTGTATTCTTTCCTTGTACTGTCCAGTCAAGACCATTCTTAACATGTGCTTTCTTCTTCTCCTTCTCCTTCTCTTTCTCCTTCTCCTTCTCCTTCTCCTTCTTCTTCCTCCTCCTCCTCCTCCTCCTCCTCTTCTCTGTTTCTAACTGAATTCCATTCAGAATTCAGAGCATACTCAGCCCTCCATAGGCTCAGAAGAGTAGTGGCTAACTCAAGTTTGTTGCTGTTAATAAGATTCTTTTTTTTTTTAGAATTCTGCACCCTTGAGTCTCCTCCAATGTGCTCCTATTATTTCATTATCAGTCATCCACATTTGACTCCAGGCTTATTCACACCTGCTACCTGATTGGGCCCAAGATTAGACAAAAATTGTCTGTTGGCCTTTTTCTCCCTATTTTGATCATTCTGCATGAACAGAAAATTCTATGATTTGGTCTAAGTTGCTTATAGAGCTCAGCTCTTAAATGCATTTAGATCACAGTATCTGGCCACATTTCTTTAAAATCGTGAGATTCTCCAAGAAGGGTCAGAAGCTAGCAATACTAAACCAAATCTGATATTTTGACATTGTTTTATGTCTGCGTTAGCAGAGTATAAATCATTTGACTCTTGATTGGAAAAAAACCCACTAATGCCAAAAAGCATTGGAGGGTTTCATCTTCAAAAAACCAAAACCCTTCTCTGCCAACTGATATTGCCTACGCTCAAATATCACAAACTATACAGTTTCAATGAGGATTAATTTGCTGTTGAAAGCAGGCAGGGTTTATCTCAACAGTAAATTGGCCAGCTCTTCTGCTTTCAGTCGCTCCAAAATTGCAAGCAGAGACTGATTTGAAATAATACAGTTGGCCAAAATTACTTTGAATCTGGGGAGGCCCAAAGATTTTTGAAAGTCTGTGGTAAATAAAATTAAAAGTCATTTCCACTTTGTTTATTTGCTAGAAGACCAAGCGATTTCCTCTCTTCTAGGGTCTTGTGTATTTTGGCTTGAAAACCAAGACTTCGATTCCAGAGGTTTAAAATATGGTTTAGGTTTTTATTGAAAAGTAAAGCACAGGGCTTCACTGAAGCTCATTCATCCTTGTAAAGCCTTAGAAATCTTATTTTCCTATGGATGATTTTGGCTAACTGCGCTCAAAAGGAATGAGAGAGTGCTATTGCTGTGGCAATGTCTTACCTTACTAATTCAAAATGAAATATTGATTTAATCAATTTAAAAGAGCAGAGGTCTGGCTTGGCTTTCCATTCCTTTCTCTTGTTTTTGTTTGCTTTGCAATGTGGCTTCCTGCTTTGTTAGCGAGAGCTAAAATAAGTAATTTAATCAACAGTCTTTTCCAGGTTTTAAAGCATGTAGGGTTACCGTATAATTGACTGTAACAGAATTTGAACCCAGTTCAAAGAGGAACTGTTGGCAATATACCTACTTGACCCAGAATATGGAACTATAACGGGTGTGTTTTCTGACTATAGACTACAGGCAAGTTATGACCACAACTGAGCCCAAAGGTTCTGTTGCTAAGCAAGACAGCTAAATGAGATGTGACCAATTTTACAACTCTTTTTTCAAGTATTGCAGCTATTAAGTGAATCTGACTTCCTCCATTGACTTTGCTTGCTGGAAGCCAGCTGGGAAGGTTACAAATAGTGATTACATGACCCCAGGACAGTGCAACTGTTATAAGGAGCCGCAGTGGCACAGTGGTTAGAGTGCAGTATTGCAGGCCAACTCTCAGCAGTTTGATTCTCACCAGCTCAAGGTTAACTCGGCCTTCCATCCTTCCAAGGTCGGTAAAATGAGGGCCCAGATTTTTGGCAGCAGTATGCTGACTCTGTAAACCAGGCATGTCAATCTGGTGGCCTGCGGGCTGAATGAGTCATGTGCAGGACACACCCACCCCGGCTCTTCCCAGGCAAAAACCATTGTGATATGTCACAATACGTGACATGATCAAGATTGTGTTGCTGTTCGTGGGCAGGAGGTGCGGACAGCTGAGGTCTTGGAGAGAGAGGACTCCAATGAGGGGCCTGTGTGTGATGCATATGTGTGGTTAATCCCATGCAATGGCTCTGTTAATTGCTATTGTTGGATGTTGTTCTACAGCTGCTGATTCTAGTGATATGGTTTTTTTTAAAAAAAAAATAGTTTCTTGTTTTTGCATACTTTATACTTGTAGGCTGCCCAGAGTCATTAAATTGAGATGGATGGCCATCAGAACTTCTGACTGGTCCTGGCAGACCGGTAGGAAAATTTTTGACTGGTTCAGAGAACTAGTAGGGAAAATTTTGACTTACCTTGCCCACCCGTCCCTCTCTTACCTCTCACCTCTCTTACATTCTGCTGTTTATTACCACAGCTGATTCTTGTGGCAGAGTGGATTGCCGTGCCTCAGCTGAGGTAAAAAATGGCACAGCTCACCACAGAAGGGCCATCTTGGAGCCCTGCGTGTGTGTGTGATTCGTGTGTTTGGCCTGCGCGCATGGTAGGCACGCCTGCACAACTCACTAGCCTTGATTCAGAGGGCATAGCTTGAGCACTGTGCATGCATGTGCGAAGCGAAGCAAGCTCCAAAACGGTAGGAAATTTTTTTTTTAAACACACCACTGGTGCCATGTGAATTGTATTAATAAATACAGTAATATTTTCTTTATTTATGTCTTGCCCTTCAAAACGAGAATCTTTTCCATCCTCTGGTTTGGCTCATTCACAAAGCTGGCAATGTTTTTTCAGGTTGTTTCCTATTTATTAATATTTTTTTAAACGTTGAAAAAAACCCTTCAACATGATAGTTTTGGAGGCCTAACCAAATGCACTTCTCTGCTCTGCGGTCTCCCTCAAAAATGAGAGACCTTCCTGGTCTCCAAGAGCTGAGAGCAGAATAAAGAGGCAGGCTGGAGGTAGCCTGGAGTTTATCTTCCCCAGGCCTCAGTCGTAGCCTTCTATGTAAGTACAGATATACCATATGGTCTTCCCTCTAACTTGTGTAATTGTGTAATTGTGGTAGAAATACAGAGAAGGATGAAGGTCAACCTCACACAACTGTGTGTGGCAGCTCAAACTGCAACTCAAGCCCACCTCCTCATCTCTCCCTGCTGAGACCCTACCAATCGATGTTTCAGAGACAGGAAATGGCAATGTGGCTTCCACCATTTGGAAGTTCTTAAAATTCTGACTTTGTGGCAAACCTTTAAACATACTTTTTTTTTGCCATTTAGATCTTAATGATACATATTCTAATTGTTTCCACCCTTCCTTTCTTTTTTTGGCTAGGAAACCATCTTAGTGAAGTGCAGCCGTCCTGGTCATGCTTTGATAAACAAGACATACCAGTTTGAAAGGTGGGTGGTCTCAAGAGCAATTTTGGTGTGCGCTATTCCTTTGAAAGAAAATGGGATTTGCAGGGAGAACTGATAACAGTCTGTTAGTATCCCAAGATTCCTTTGGGGACTTCCCCTTTAATCATCCAGGCTTAACATTTGGAACGAATAAGAATTCCAAGCTCTCTCTAAATGGAAAAAGCAGATGGCTTTATTCCCATTTCTTTGAATGCTGTAGAATATCAGATTGATTTTTTTTTTAAATACATAGTTGTGTTACCTCTAAAATAAGCTTCTGATCAAGTGAACCCCCGTTCAGGTGAACTGTTCCTCTACACCAGGGGTCTCCAACTGTGGCAACTTTAAGACTTGTGGACTTCAACTCCTAGAATTCCTCAGCCAGAATTCTGGGAGTGGAAGTCCACAGGTCTTAAAGTTGCCAAATTTGGAGACCCCTGCTCTACACAGTACAGTTGTATTTGTTGTAACATTCATCATATGGACATACAACTGTACTGTATTCACCTGAACAGATTCCTAGAGCCACACAGAAAGCAAACAGGTACAGGTAGTCTTCTACGTACAACAGTTCATTAGGTGACCCTTCAAAGTTACAACTGAAAATATTGGCTTCCATCTATTTTTCACACTTATGACCATTGCAGTAGCTTCCCTACAGTCACATGATCAAAATTCAGATGCTTCGCAACTGACTCATATTTATGATGGTTGCAGTGTTCCTGGGGTCATGTGATCATCTTTTGAGATCTTCTGACAAGCAAAGTCAATGGGGAAGCCTGATTCACTTAACAATCTAATTAGTACCTTGTCAACTGCAGTGATTCCCTTAACAGTGGTGGCAAGAAAAGTCATAAAATGGGGCAAAATTCACTTTACGGATGTTTCACTTAACAACGTAATTTTGCACTCAATTAGGGTTGTAAGTTGAGGACTATCTGTACTCCCTTTGGAAACAAAAAGTAATTGAGAAAAAATTAAAAAGAGCTTAACTCTTATTCACCCTGTGTGTGTGTGTGTGTGTGTGTGTGTGTGTGTGTGTGTCCATCAATATACTATGCAAACCTTGGGGTAATAGAAATTGTTTTCCTTGTCCTAAAAGAACAGGTTTGCAATATGACTAAAGCTCATTGATCAATAATATCTTGAGAGGTTAAAATGAACTTCTTGCACAAAACATTTTAGCAGTTTCAGCTGATGCATCACCTCTAGATTTCTTTGATGGAGAAAGCTTTGTCAGACCTATCTAGCTCTGGTAACTATCCTTATAATGTGTGATGCTAGAATTGCCATAAAATCATGCCAGTAATTCTAATTGTTGGACTGGGGGCTTTGATGATACTATCCCCACCGTCCATCACATTGGCTTCTATATGTCAAAAATACCCTTTTTAATTCATGATTCCCTATGGTGCTCAATGCCAAGTTACTCGACAGACCATCTCTGTATCTATTTTTAACCTCTTTATAGGTATGGTCACAGTGTTCCCACCTAAGGCCATATTTATCTCTTCGGTTACATGTCTACGCACTGTTAATATTCTCTTTTTCTCTCCCCCCCCTCTCTTTTTTACAGTTAGAGCTAACTTGACATTTTGTATTCATTATTCATTATTTCTTTTTTATGCTTTGATCCTGTTAGTCTTGAAGCAAAGCTGCGTGGAACTCAAAGGCTCTAGTTTCTTCCTTTTCTTTTGGCATTTCTATGAACATAAAACATAGACTGTCTCTAGAAATAGGTTGTAGTTGTCAAGGGCCCATGGCCTTGGCACTCCTCAGAACATTTTAAATGACTACCATCTGATTGTTGGAATATGATCGTGGCTCTACTGTTCTTCTATTTTAATTTCCTGATGTCTGACATAGCTTCAGAGTGGGCGTAATTCTTCCTTACTCAGGGGCTTCTGAGGAAAATTGGCATTGTTAAACTAACATAAAGACTGCATTGAGTAATTTTATTCTTGTTCTTATTCCTTACTGTGATCATTGGTTGAACGAATCTTGTTTTATTTTTCTCAGAGTTTATAACACATCTGATTCACAAACAACAGTATTTGCAGATATTTCTCCTTTGCTAACCTCTTTGCTGGATGGGTAAGTAAAATTGAAAGCAAAAAAATAAGTTCAGAACTATTTCAAGAAAGACATGATAATATGTGTGCCACAGCAGTATGCTTACAATCTTTTCTCCTAGATGGTAGAACAACTAATTAAGAATGCTGTAAATTAAATACCTCAAGAAGAATCAGCCCCATAGAAATTTCAGTGAATCTCTAGGGCCCATCAAAATGACAAGGCTGCTAGTTTGTTTGTTTTTTACCTTTTAAGTGGCACTAGATCACAGAGAAAGGATTCCTTCCCCAAATGTTGTTTGTCTGCACAAATAACCACATTTTCTACTAATTGCAGTTACCGTAATATACTGATTGGGGAAGCTTTGTCCTCAACTGCAACCAGCTTCTGTTTCAAAATATGGTACCTACTTTGAAACATGTCCCCCCCCCCCACACGCACACAGTTATTACCATTTGAAATCTATTTGCATTGGATTGTGATTGCTCAATCCATATTTTTGATTAAAGGTTGCATTCTACTTCAAGTACCTCATAAATAAGTACAGAAAAAATTACTGGTTCAAATAGTACAATTAAACATCTTCTAATTCAGAGTGTCAAACTCAATTTCATTGAGGGCTGCATCAGGGTTGTGTTTGACCTCGGGGCCAGGCTAGACATGGCCAGATGGGCATAGCCAGCTTGATTTCACTCATGTTGGGGGCGCCTGTAGTGGCTTGAGCACTCGTCCAGCGAAAACAGACTCCCATGCTCCGTTTTCAGCTGTGTTGGCCTCCTGCAACCCTCTCCCAGCGAAAACAGAGCTTGGGAGGGCTGTGGGCAGCCTTCATGAGCTCCGTTTTTGCTGGGAGAGGCACCATGGGCTAGTCCTTACTTATTTCCGGGGCGGCCCTGCGGGCCAGACCTAAGCACCCTGCGGGCTGGATCCAGCCCCTGGGCCTTGAGTTTGACACCCCTGTTCTAACTGAATATGTAAGGACCTTTCTTACAACTCAGAAGTACCGCACTGAGATCACAGAAGATTCTTTGCTATATCCTACCCCTTTTTTCTAATTTTTATATAAATAGCCATATTTTTCATTTCCCTTTTTCTCTGCACTATATATCCTGTTTTACTTATTGATTCATCATAACAGTCTTGAGAGTTATATTACTCTAAGCCTAGTTCTGGTTGGAAAGCCACAGTAACATTTTAGAGAATTTACTGCTCCAGTAGAGCATGAATCAATATGCTTTATAACTATGAAACCCTTACTGGTAGGTATCTGACTTCATTATAAAGCCTGTCCATCTGGGACACTATTTGGGGAATGTTGAATTCCTGAAAATACTGTGTCTCTGTGTTAGCGGAAGCTTGCAGGGCAAGTCTATGGTATTAAAGCAAAAAATGTACATTCAGATTTGAGCTTAAAAAAAGTTTCTAAGCCAGGCATCACAGTCAGATTTAAGTGCATGCTCTGTGCTACACAGTGTAGCAGGAAACAGGATCTTGTGAACGAACCATGCTGGCATTATTATAGTTCTTTTTTTATTAAGTTTGTAAAATGTCCTCAGTGATCCTCTAAAGCAGAAACTGGAGCCTTTTTTTGGAAGAGGGAGGGAGGGCTCTGGCGCCTCAATTCCATTTTATAAAAAATGTCCACCATAAGACATAAACGAAGTGGCCATTGTCACCAAAGTGAACAGGGCTTAGACTTTTAGGCTTTGGAGGAAGAAATTAACAAACGGAAAGAATGGGTGATTGTGCTCCTTATGTTAGTGCACACACCCAAAATCTTGTCTGTTGACAATTGGACATATTGCGGTCAGCTTGTGAATGGAACCCAGTTTCTTGCCTCTGTTCCAGCTGTTGGATCCCAGACTCAAACTCCAAGGAAGAAATGGGAAAGCATTATATCCTAAAAACAGTGATCTGATTTTGCTTCTCCCCTTCGATTTTTTCTACTCTATAGCGTCCTGCTAGGAAGGAAGAAACTTCTTTCTTCATGCATAGAAATTTTCAACTGGGTAAATGAGACAGGCAGGTGTGGTGTTTTTACATTGATTATTCCAGTACTAGAAAAACTTCCTTCCAAAGTTTAGTTTTGACCACTTAAAATTTGCCTTTAAGAATAGAGATAATAAGGAAAATTATGGGCCTGTGCAAAGTTGGACAGGTTAACTCTAGAATTAAAAAAAATACTATGAAACGTGGAATAAATTTTATCAGTGGTTGCCTAGAAGAAGGCAAGGTAGAAACATACATACCTATGATGATTAGAATAGTTAGTAAACAATATATCAAACAAGAAGATTGTAAATGATGAAGTAAAATTTATATATGTATAGCAATTGTAATGCTAGAACGGTTGCAACGTGTTGCATACTTATAATTAAAAAAAAAATCATAAGAATCACTTCTCTCTCTACTTTTCAGGTTCAATGTGTGTATTATGGCTTATGGGCAGACTGGCAGCGGGAAAACATACACAATGTTGGGCCCGCAGCTTGAAAAAAGTTTTCATTTCTCAATGGAAGATGAGACAGAATTAGGAATCATTCCTAGAGCCAGCAAAGAAGTATTCAGGTATTGATTATATTGAACATTTGTGACTAGCTATGTCTGTATTTCAGTTTTCCTTCAGAAAAATTATCTGCTTATTACCATAAAGAGTCTCAAAGTTGCAGTTCCAATCAGGGAGACAAGAAGTTGCGGGGGTGGGGGTGGGGCATGGATTCCAACAATGCATTCTTTAAAAAGCTTAATAAAATCCATGTCTCCAAAGGATATTGTAGTAGATTTTTTTACAATTGGTCTAAGAGTGGAAAGTTTCCAGAGTTGTTTGGCAGATTGTTACAGAACATAAAGGCCTTTCTGAGGAAGTTGCTGTGATGTAATCATCAGCCCGATGACAGATGGACATCATTAATACATTTACTGTGTTGGATCTTATTTTTCCTCAATCAGTCATGAAAAGAGCAAATCATTTGAGTGGAACTTGAATAGTTCCTGTAGCCTATAGTTTAAATAATTGCGAACCCCCATTCAGAAAATATGCAAGTGGGCATTTAACACTTATCAATACACTTATGATAAAATAAATCAGCTGACAGCAAATGATTGCAGTTTCAGTACAGAATTATTCACACTTTTCATTTACAGTGTTTCTGTACAAGTCTGTCTCTGTTGCAGTGATTGATGCCTTTTCTTCATTATTCTTTGTGATTTTCAATCAGGGCTTTGTATATTTACTGTACAAATAGGCTTCCTCTTTTTACAATTATCAGATTGTTCTTTGAAATTTGGGGGGGTAGTCTTTTAATAAAGGATAATGGCAGATGTGCACAAGCAGCTGGGTGCCCCTTCCACTTCTGAATCAGGCACTGTGTGTTCTACCAAATACCCTTGAGCATTTGAATTATTGAGAGATCAAATGAAAAGTGCTATCTGTCCAGGAAACTAGTGAACTTGTACACAGATAGTCTGAAAATGTGAGGAGAGTGAGTTGGATGTGGACATATGCCAGTGGAAGAAACTTTGCTGGCTATGTTTACTGCAAGTTGTCCTATGGAAGACAAAGCAATCAATAATTTAAACAGGAGTCTTGAAACTGCAGTTCTTTATGCAAGCTATTGCAACATATGACTTGAGAGTTTGTACAAAAACTCTGAGACCTCATATGCCCGAGATTGAATATAACACCTTGAATTGCTAGATATATGTTGTTACATTTCAATTCTAGTTTCATACAAAGAGATCTACTACTAGTTCTTGGGAGTGGGGAATTGACATGCTCAAGCAGCCTTCTAGTCAAAGAAGACCTTGTTTTGGTTCAGCCTGATATATACTGTAAATAAAATGATAATTGTACACTAGACTTTGAATTATCCCTGTATCTTCTTGGGTCAAAAATAGAATGTCTATGTAAAATATCTATAAAATACATCTATCTATAGTACCCTTTGACCTTCCAACAACTTAACATAGAAGATTGGCAATGCATTTGTTAATAAATACATTAATAATTATTATTATAGGATATTTTGCAATATTTTGTTAATGTAACCTTACAATAAAATAAAATTCATTTATCTAGTCATATCTCTAGTCTACCTGGGAGGGCCAATATGTGCAATAATAATAGTGCAATAATATAAATATTGCAGATCTGAAGGCACAGACCTCCTACCTCCACTTTTAACTGCTTGATCCATTAGGGTCTTTCTTAAGTTTCTATCTGACTGCTAAGCCACTGGGGTCTATCTGTTTTATCTGAAACAGAAAACGGATCTAGCATCACTTCCTCTCCTTTCCTAAGATCATCCACACATTCCATTAAATCTGCAGAGCTCTACAGCATATTACAGAATAAGTAGTGAATAAATAGTTTGAATCACATTTTGGAAAAGCTCAAGTATCTCAGAAAAGCAACAAATATCAAAGATTATGGACTTTTAGTATCCATTCAAGCTGTAATAATCTGCTGGATCACAAGAATAACTTACTTAGTTTTTTTAAAAAAAATTTCAATCTTTCAAGCCCTTTTTCTTCTTTCAGGCTTCTTTCAGAAAAGTCATCAGGAAGCCATTGGGTTGAGGTTTCTGTTGTAGAAGTGTATAATAATGACATTTTTGATCTTCTGGCCAAAGACAACTCTGGAAGGCTGAATGGTATCAAAAGGGGTATAATGACAAATAAAGAAGGAAAGAATGATATTCCACTTCTTACCAATGAGTGAGTACTCAGGGAGTGTCTTTGAGTTGCACAACTTGTTGTACAATATATGTCATTGAGCATTGTCAGAAAACATGAACTTAACATCTATCCATTCCATATCTGTTTGTGGCTTATTAGCGTTGTAACAGGTTTTTAACCTCTTGATTGCATGGAAACATTTATTCTATTTCCTCTCCCAAAGTTTATGTAATTTAAGAATATCCAAATGGGGAAGGATTATAAAGGCACATGCAAACTCCACTCTGGTATTTCTATGTGTACAGATCCTCCTACATTAGGACAAAGATACAAAAAGGAGTAATAAGCAAATATGACTCATCTGTTTGGAAATCTTTATAGCATTCAGGAGACAGTTTTCCAACTTTAGGGCTCTTGCAAGAACTGTGGTGGCGCAGGTACTGCAGGCTACTACTGCTGACTGCTGGCTGCCAACAGTTCGGCAGTTCGATTCTCACTGGCTCAAGGTTGACTCAGCCTTCCAGCCTTCCATCCTTCCAAGGTTGGTAAAATAAGGACTCAGATTGTTGGCAATATGCTGAGTCTGTAAACTGCTTAGAGAGGGCTGTAAAGCACTGTGAAGCAGTATATATGTCTAAGTGGTATTGCTATCTCATTTGGGCCCATAATTGAGATACATTTGACTACAAGATTAAAAACAGTAGAATACCATAGTGTGAAATAATGTGCAAAATAGTAATCAGAGAAAATTGCTGTCAGTGAGAACTTTTCTGTTCTCAAAATGGTTGCTTCAGCTTCACTAAATCCCAATTTAGTAGAAAGCCAATTAGTGAAATTGCTATCTGTTATCCTTTCTTTTTCCCCAAGATATTCATAATCAGTCTCAGCTTACCTTTGGCTTTTCTTCTGGGCAGGTGGGCACAGTTTCAAACAAAGGTATGAATCTCCCTCACACTTAGTCCAAAGCTTAACCACGATGGCAGCTCATGAATGTAAAACTGCCAGACAGCTGGCCCAGGCAGTGATTGTGGAAACTCTCTAGTTAACTTTGCACATGTTGTAGGCAAAGTTAACCTATATGGATTTCAAACGATCTCTTTCCACCTAACATTTCACAAGCTATGTGCCTTGAGCTGATGGTGAGGTACATTGTACAATTTTGTTTAGACGGGTTTTATGATGGTCATTTATCCCAAAGGTGCTTTTTTTCAAGAGGCAACTGGACTTTCTGCTTTTTCTTTTTCTCATCCAAGAAGCTTGTTCAGATGAATGAGAAGAGAAACGTCTGCAAAGAAAAACAAGAGTGGCCAGTTGCTTTTTGAAAAAGCACCTTTGAGACAACTATGACCTGGATGACTGAGAATATACATCGGGGGTCCCCAAACATGGCAACTTTAAGACTTGTGGACTTCAACTCCCAGAATTCCTCCTCCAGTCATGTTAGCTCAGGAATTCTGGGAGTTGAAGTCCACAAGTCTAAAAGTTACCAAGTTTGGAGACCTCTGGTCTACATAGACTAATCACTTAGCAACTGTTTGAAGTTATGACGGCTTCCCCCAGAGGTGGGATTCTACTGGTTCTATCCGGTTCTTTAGAACCCCTTGTTAACTTTCTAAGTAGTTCGGAGAACCAGTAGTTAGAAGCAATTCCATTTGCTTTTTTCCACCTTTATTACATTCTTGGCAGACAGCCTAGACCAGGGGTCGCCAACCTTTTGGACCTCAGGGACCACCAAACTCATAATTTTAGATCCCAGGGACCACTAACTGGTGCTGTGGGCGTGGCCTAATTTGTGAGTGTGGCTTGGTGGTCATGTGACTGGCTCGGCATGGCTTGTATATAAATATTATAAATATATAAATATTGATTTTTTTTATTAAAAAAAGAACAACTTTTACCCAAAATCAGGCAAAGCAAGCAGGCAGATTGAGTTGCTCACAGAATCATTCAGTGATCTATCTATCTGCCATCAGCTAGCTCAGTCTCTCAAATTTGTTCGCCGTGAGTCTGCACTGAATTTGCTTGCAAGCAAACCTTCAGTCCTAAGGGAGGTTCGGCTGTGCTTAGTTAGAAAGCAAGAAATCCAATCATTTCCTGCTTCCTAGCTAATCTAAATCTCCCAGCAGAGCAGAACAGATGATGGTTGGAAAAAGGAAAAATAGCACTTAGCAGACAAATTTGCTGGGTAAGGAGTGAGTGGGCGGGGAGGGTTCCCACGGTCCATGTGGGCTGAGCAGCCTTGAGTTTCTGTGCAGCCTGGATTAATTGCTTTGGGGGGGTGCTCTGGGGGTGAGAATTCTCTGTGGCCCACCAAAATTTTCTCACGGCCCACCAGTGGGCCGCAGCCCACCAGTTGGCAACTGCTGGCCTAGACTTCCTGTCTCCGAAGCTTGTGGGGCTTGGCTTTCTTAAAGAGGAAGTGTTGTTTTAATATTTTTACACTGCTGTTGGGAGAAAATACTTCCCTGGACAATCAGCACTTTGAAGAAATAATTGAATAATGAAGCAAAGCTTTTAGTGACAGGGAACCAAGATGAGTGACATTCACCAAGGCTTCTTGGCTAGCTAGAAGGATTGACATTCAAACATGAGTTTACATACCCTTTCTGAGTTTTGGTCTAAAACTGGTTTTTGGTGAAGATTAATTCTATGCTTGGTGATATTTAATCCTATGTTTATTGATGGGATAATTTCCCTATTCAGCTTCAACAAGCAACAGCTACTGTTGTGATTTAATTGTTTGTATTGTGTTTGAATTTTTTCTTGCCTCATGGTTCCTTTTTTTATTTGGGAAGGAGGTCTTTCTCACTGCTTTAATACTATCTGACACTGTCCTTTTGGGGTATACTTCCAAGAGGCAGGATGCATGCTTGGCACTGATTTTTTTTACTGCCTTTCTCGGGGGCATGTGACCTTTCCTTAAATCTGGGTGATTTTCTTAGGATATCTTGTGAGGTGAGTGAGACTAGCTGGTATTTTAAGTGTTCAAATGGATCTAAGGATTGCTTCTCCTGGGTGTGCTTTTTCTGGAGAGCTTAAATGACCTCTCTGTTAAAGGGTTTCACTTTATGAGCAAGAGTAGGCTGTTTGATAGTTATCACTGCAATTTAACTATTTTGATTCCTCAAGGTGCTTTGGCACCCTGCTGATTTGTAACTCTGGCTTGCAGGTATTTTTAATCTAATGATTGGTATTTAGGGCAGCTTTTTGCAAGCAAAGAAGCTTTTTGTATTTTTGTACAGGTAATCCTTGACTTACAACAGTTCATTTAGTGACCATTCAAAGTTACAATGGCATAGAAAAAAGTAACTTATGACCATTTTTCACACTTATGACCGTTGTAGCTTCCCCACTGTCATGAGAGGCCAGGCGAGGAGAAGTGCCCTTTAACATGAGTGATGTCGAATTGACCGTGCCCACCCAGTCACATGACTACCAAGTCACACCCTCCAACTAAGCCACGCCCACAGAACCGGTTGTTAAAAAGACTGATTCCCACCCCTGGCTTCTCCCCCCCCAAATACTTATGACCAGTTTCAAACTTCCAAAATTGAGTGGGGGGCATAGTCACATTTTGGGTGCTTTTCCGTGGGTGGGGAGAAGCAGCCCATAGCAACGGTTGGTTCACTGCTGCAAAATAGGACATACAATCGGATTCAGTCACATGGCGACCCATGTTACAACTGTCACAACTTACAACTGTAATAGCAGGGTTCAAATACAGCCATAAACCGAGGATTACTTGCCTATGGGACTTTGGTATAGGAGAACTACAGATGATTCTAAGGAGCATTTTGCTCTTTCTTATGTTAAATTCCAAAGTAAATTCTGTTTCTGACCTCATTGGAATTGAGATTTTTTTTTTCTTTTACTGCTCCTTCAGCTTGCAAAGTTGCGCTGAACAATGCAAGCATTTCGTGTACTGTTTGGCAGAGGAAGGGAGAGAGGGAAATGGAACTCAGACACAACAGTCCTTTTATTTCCTTTATAAACTATAATATACTGCACCCACAAAGGAGATAATTTAAGGCAGTATTTTTGTCTGTGGTTTTTACTAACATAAGTAAACCACTGGAGCTTTGTTTATGTGTTTCCCTGTCATTGCCAAAAAAGCCTTGATTTAAAAATATGCCAAACACACTGAGGGTTGGGGAGTCTGAGCAGACATAATTCTCTCCATCTGGTTTTATAATCTGCATATCCTGATCACAGAAGGGGCGGGGGGAACCTTGTTGTTTTTTTTTCACAATCATGGTTGGAACATTTCCTTAAGGCTGATATTTTAGGGGCAGTAAATTTTCCTTTTATATTTAATGGCTAGTGGGAGGGGAGCTGGATTCTGTGTCATTAAAAACTTTTTAAAAAACATTTTTAAATAATAAGTGCATGATTAATTTGAAAGGGGAATAATATTTTGAGACTTCAAAGGTTCTTTAAAAAAAACAACAACATCTGAGCTCGTAAATTTTAGTAAGAATTAAATAAAACCAGATAACTGTTGAAATTTTGTCATCTTCTAAAGTCTGTTTTAAAAGTGTAGCTTCCCTTTGTTCACAGCACTGCAAGTTTTGGCCCATTTCTCCAGTTTTACTGGAATGGATGGGAAGGGTTTTAAAGGACAAAGCAAGTACCATCAACCAGCATTTCTCAACCTCAGCAACTTTAAGATGTGTTTACTTGAACTCCCAGAATTTCCCCACCATTGCAAAGGACTAGGCATAATCTTCCATCTCTTAAAACCCTATAGATAACAGATAATCAGAGTTGGAAGGGACCTTATAGATCATCTAGTCCAACCCCCCACCCAAGCGGGAGACCCTACACGATTTCTGACAAGTGGCAGTCCAATCTCTTCTTGAAAGTCTCAAGTGAAGGCGCTCCCACAACTTCCGAGGGCAAGCTGTTCCATTGGTTGATTGTTCTCACTGTCAGAAAGTTTCTCCTTATTTCCAGGTTAAATCTCTCCTTGTTCAGTTTCCATCCATTGTTCCTTGTCTGGCCTACAGGAGCTTTAGAAAATAGCTTGACCCCTTCCTCTCTGTAGCAGCCCCTCAAATATTGGAAGACTGCTGTCATGTCTCCCCTGGTCCTTCTCTTCACTAGACTAGCCAGGCCCAGTTCCTGTAACCGTTCTTCATATGTTTTAGTCTCCAGTCCCCTAATCATCCTGGTTGCTCTTCTCTGCACTTTTTCTAGAGTTTCAACATCTTTTTTATAATGTGGTGACCAAAATTGGATGGAGTACTCTAGGTGTGGTCCTCCACTATCCTTACCCTGATTTTGGTGGGCAAAAGTTGCATTTTTGGAAAGTGGCCATCAATATATCAGGTCCAATATAAACATCAAGTTGTTAAAGGTTCTGCTTTCCACTTTTAAACCAGGGCTCCTCAATCTGTGGGCCATGTGAACACACACACACCACTTGCACTAGCGTCGCTGTGAGTGTCACACTGGTGCTTGTGCCCCTGTTTGTGTTGCACATGCTTGCCCCCATTCGCACATGCATGCATGCTTATAGGCACTTGTCCTTCCCTCCCCCCTCTTGGCTGCCAACCCAGAAAGGTTGCGGAGCTCTGTTCTAAACCATTTCTTTAGTCTATGCTGGTTGTTTAGAGCCGTGGTGGTGCAGTGGTTAGAATGCAGTATTGCAGGCTAATTCTGCTGACTGCCAACTGCCAACAGTTCAATTCTCACCAGCTCAAGGTTGACTCAGCCTTCCATCCTTCTGAGGTCAGTAAAATGAGGAACCAGATTGTTGGGGGCAATATGCTGACATGTAAACCAGAGGTGGTATTCAGCAGGTTCTGACCAGTTCTGGGGAACCAGTACCAGAAATTTTGAGTAGTTCAGAGAACTGGCAAATACCACCTTTGACTGGAGATTTTACAGTATCCTTCCCCTGCCACGCCCACCAAGCCACGCCCACAGAACCCGTAGTAAAAAAAATTGAATCCCACCACTGATATAAACCATTTAGAGAGCACTGTAAAGCATTGTGAAGCATAAGTCTAAGCGCTATTTCTAGTGCTATTAGCTAGAAGTGAACGTCTGTCTTGTTTGGTGGTTTGTGATTCTGCTGCACAATGAATTAATTAAAAGTGTGAGGAGAATCTGCAGAGCTAAGTAGGCTTCTTCCTTTTGCATAACTGTAGGAAAGATGACAAAAGGAATGGACCACAAAGAGCTTGAATTAAAGCAGTCCCTTGCATTACTCATCCTCCTTCTCAACTATACAGCTGGCCTCTGGCCTTGCTCAGGCAACTGATGGCTAGTGTTTAAAAGCCCAGGATAATTTATAATTTGTATTGGTGCTCTGAAGTTTAAATGAAAGAGAACTGTTTGCAAAAGCTAAAATTTGTGTCATGTGATATAAAACTGATAGGAGAAAGAGATCTCCCTAACTGCAGTTGTTCCAACTTATAGCAGTTTTTTTTTAAGCATAACTTTGGGGGAAATCCATTAAGGAAAATATAGGGTTTTTTTCCAAAACATTTTTTACAGCTGAAACACATATGGTACGTGTTAAATTCCACACAATTAAGGGAAAAAATGTACCAATAAATGCACAAATTTATACAGAAAAAACTTAACTGTGAAAACCAACGTTTAAAAAATGGAAAACATTCATGGTTCTTGACTGCCCTGACTCTCTGGAGTCTAAAATACGCTATTGGGAGTTTGAATAATATTTCATCTGTAATGAATTTGTGTAGATAAAGCATGGAAAACCCTCAGTGCTCTCCCCCAAATATCATCCAAGCAGTAAAAATAAGTGTTAATTTTACTTCACTGGGTTAATCAAGAGAGTAAAATCAAGTTCTTTTTTCCCCAGAAGAGATATTTACAGGCAGTATGTTTGCCTTCACTTCAGCCACCATGTCAGTAGCATTTTGATTTGCACAAGTTGCAATGATATCATCCATGACAAATAATCTTCCAACCTCTGTTTGGTTATGGTTAAGGAAGAAAGAATCCTGACTTTCTGAAACAGTCTTTCCGCTATTAAGCATCTATTCTGTTCTGCTAAGTATGTCTTCATGTTTAGCCAAATTCTGCTTCCTTTGCAAATTCCACACAGTAGTCCTACTTTAACTTTGGGATAAGTTCCAAAAGATATGTCTACTGTTTGTGATCTATAACAAAAAACAGAGAGCAGTTAATACATAGGAATGGAAAAGAGAGACAGGAACCTCAGTGGACATGCATGCTGAACAGATGATTCCTAACCAAATCTCCTCTGTTTGAAATAGTTCCTGATATGGGCAGTGTTCCGGACTAGCAGGCTCGTAGCCTGCAAATCTGATTGGCCTGCTGAAAGCCGATCGTGATTGGTCGCCATAGACTGATGCGATTGGCCAGTAAATGGGCTGCCGCGATTGGCCCTGCCAAGAATGGCAAACTCAAATCGCCTTCATTGGCTGCCTAGCCGCAGCCAGCCCTATGTAAGGGGCTGCTGCGGCTGGGGTTAGTTGCTCAGATCTGAAGTCACAAATAAAGAGCTTGAGTTACTATCTGAGTCTTGCCTCCGTTCTTGAACCGTCCTCCCAGATATAACAGGCAGCATAGAGAAGCATCTATGAAGGAACTGATAATTGCTTTTAAAAACACAGTTACAATTAAGCAATCTATTCACTGTACTAATTTCTGTGAACATTGTCGTCCATTAATAATCACTGAATTTTCTTGCGATTTTACTCTTGATTTTTTAACAAAATGTTAGATGCTGACAGGAATCTATGTTTTCTTTTTGCGTGTGTGGTAAATAATAGTGAGTAAGATTCCACTTTCCCCAATCCATGATCTAGAATCAAATCTGAGGAGGATGCTTTAGACCAGTTTGGACTAAGATAGTTTTTTTCCTCAGCAATTGGCTAACCTTGGGTCAAGCTGAACTTTCTCTTCATAGCCCTTGTTTCGTTTCTTGAAAAATACATTGATTTCTCCAAGATTGCACTTTTGTTACGTATTCTGAAACGAAAAGGACTGTTGAAGCTTTTCTACAATATTGATTTAAGTAACAGTAAATGGCTTGTTAGAAAACAGTGTAATATAATCAGCAACGTTTCATTGTGAATACATTATTCTATATGCAAGCTCTATCATTGTGCTATTCCCATGGAGTATTTTGCTGTAAAATAATTCTAGATGCTCTGAGTTTTAGAAAAAATATCATTTTACATATATATATATATATATACATATATTTTCTAAGACCTGTTGAAGATGTTGTGGAATTCTTGGAGCTTGTTAACCAGGGTCTACAGCTGAGGGCCAAACAGTCAACCCTTGTACATACCGATTCATCTCGTTCACACCTTGTGATAACTTTGACAATAACCATCAAGGCTGCCACAGGGGATGATTTTGGTAAGAAGCTTGTTTATGATATATTTCATATATCTATATCTATATCTATCTATCTATCTATCTATCTATCTATCTATCTATCTATCTATCTATCTATCTATATCTATCTATCTATCTATCTATCTATCTATCTATCTATCTATCTATCATCTATCTATCTATCTATCTATATGTTTTCTTAAGTTTTCGCGGGTACTTACATGTATGGCATTCGGCTTTGTTCGGGTATTTTCCCACTTCATAGTAGTTGTACTTTTAAAGCACAACTTTAAAAGCACAACTACTATGACATGGGAAAATACCCGAACAAAGCCGAATGCCATATATAT